GGTTTCCTGTAAACAATTTATATCACAGAACAATGATAGAAAGCAAATGATACTTGAAAAATAATAGAAGATAAAGTAAAGAACTATTTGTCTTAAGGCAAAGCAAACGCTACTCGTGATATTTATACAAATATAAACCATATCATAATAATAGATAAGACAATAGAAATGGAAGACAAAACATCGACAAAAAAAATGAAAAGTTCTCATGGGATATATTCAAACACAAATAAACTACTAATCTTAAAACAGGAGTGTTAGTGTATTGTATAATAAACTCAAGTCCTTTGGCCTTCCGGATAAGCGCGTTTTAGCAAAGTAACTCAATCCTAAATATTTTGGCAATTTTTGTCTTGGCATTTACCCTTGTTTTGCCTGAACTCAAATATATGATCTTACGAAACAACAACTATTTCTTACACAGATAGATTGTGTTATAATTCTTCAATGGTGTTAATAGGAAAATATAATTTGTATTTGTACACTTTCATTAAGTGACAAGTTTTACAAATCAGAATAAAAGTATCAGTATTTTGTGCACAAAGCGCTCAGAAAAATTTTGGGTCACCCACAATGAAGTGATATAGTAACAATACAAGGAATTAGGTACCAAATGCTCCTAAAATATGTTTTTCATTAAATTCCTAAACAGACCAGTACTAAGAATTCTTGAGGCAACTTCTCACCTAATAAAACAGCAACAGGATATTTAAAAAACTCAATTACTAGTCTTGAGGCAGAGGTAACAAGATATTGTTTAGCAAAAGATTTTTTGAAGCAATTCTTACCAGACAAAACAGCAACAGGAGGACACCGCCCATGGTCATACATCATATCATTCATTCTCTCCCAAGTAGCTTCATGATCTGAGTATTTCAGTCGATGAACAGATCGATCTCTCATGAGAACATAAATGTAGTCACCAAGAGCCACAGCAGAAAAGTCAGTTTCTGATCCAGGCATGTTCTGGAAAATATTAATAAACAAGATTACATTGAAGAAATGTTTGTTTAAATGTAGATAGATGCGTGGGAGTGGTGGGATGAGAGAATCAAATACCACTCAAATAATTGTCCTAAAAAAGCCTTGTCCACATGGCATGGCACATAATGCTAAGCGATAAGAATACGCTCGCCACCGCACCTGAGATTACCCTGCGTGGGTTCAAACTCCATGCCGGGATGGTTATGTGCAAGAAGATTGCTGTACTCATCGCCGGCGTAGGGTGGTTAATGTAACCGCTGGTTGGGTTACGGCTTCCTCCACCACCAAGTCAATGCTTGTGAAAAACTAATCCCATACCTGACATGGACTGGTAAACAGACGAGAGGCCGTGGTTCGCCATATGGTTAAGTTGTCTTATTGGCTTTCCTCTTCCCTGGGTTAAATATGTAAACCCCATATTACATACTTCAATTGAGCACCAAGGTGAAATAGTACAAGTCAGGTAGCAAAATTTAAATCTATCCTGGAGGGGGGAAATGAAAAGAGGATAAGATGGTCAAACACAGTCATGCGTTGAAATAAAATATGTTACGCAACAATACTATAGGTCGAACCGGACTACCACAACCCCATCTTGCAATCCAATTGCAGAAAAACACAAGCTTTGAGCATTACTTTTTATCATCAGGAGTAAGAATGGAGACGAATGTGGAAAATTTTCTATGTAAAGCACGATTAGGATGATATACCAGAGTTGAAGGTTGTCAAATACCAAACTGCATTTTTGTCCAAGTATTATTCCGAGGATTAAAGCATTGAAGGCTCTTTGAGTTTTCATCAAATACAGCAACTGTAAGAAATCAACTTTGTATAAGAAAGGAAAAGCAAGTATCAAGTATCTTGCTTCCTTTCGTTCTTCTTTTATATTCTCAGCAGAGTGAATATCTGAAGCATCAACATTTAAGCTGTCCATCACAGAGATGCAGAAAGCTTGATAGCATTCAGGACATGACTTTACCATTCGCTGAAATGATCAATGTGTGTTATGTACATCTAATAAATGTTGCATTATACCAAAAAATAAAATTGATGTTGCATATTAGCTGCGGAGTGTGGGAAAAGTTTACTCAACCCCAGGTTAAAGGAAATTTAAACACACTCAAGCTTTAAACTCCCAGAAAATTAAGTTTGGCACAAAACTCAGGCACATTCCACGCATCCCTACTCAAAAGAAATTAAAATGTTGACCCGTGGTTCGACACCAGGTTGTTTAAAATAGGACTTCATGCTTTATTAAAATATGCCAAACTACGCGTCCTCTTTAGTCAGATAATTCCTAATATTATATTCAAATTCATTTAACCGTTGCAAAAAACGTTGTATGGTTCAAATATATGAATTTAAAAATACCCAACCTCGTTTTCAACAAGGAATCTTCTATAAGTCACCGGTACTTTATGCAAATCAACGTAGTTGTCCAATTTTTTCAGAAGTTTTTTGCGATTTCTTTGCTCGTATTTTATCCAAGATATCAAACCTTTTAGCTTGACACTCTCTGATGCCTAGGAATACAGAATATGTCAAACATTAAAATTCACCTGTATCTATTAATTTACAGGAAAAACACTTAGGATTCATGCTGTAATCCAAGACATTAGGATGCTTGAATTCCTAGCTTGAATATTGGTTGGATAAAAAAGCAATTGGTTAGCAGGCTGAACCAGAAATTCAAGGGTGAGAACTTATTTGTTCATTCCGATCATACAGTCTTCACCGGAGTGAGAATGAGGTAGAAATACAGTTGGCGACTTGGGAAATTTACCATGGGAAATTTACTTTGATCAGTATAAACCTAAAACCTTATCTCAACGAAATGATTTGTGAAACAAACCTAACGAAACACTAAAAACACCTTGTTCTCTTGTGACTTGATCAATCTAACAAATTCCTTTTCCTCTATTGCCTTGAACTCATCAAGAACCGCAATTTCTTCAAATTTATCCAGCATGAACTTCTCGCATTTTTGCATCAATTCTTTGTAATTGTACAGGTTTGCGATTCTTTTTGTCACAAAAAATGATTCTGCAGATGATTCAAGATTTTCTTCAAGTGAATCAACAATTCCTTCACAGACATCTGTTATCAGAAAACAAACATGGTGTATTGTATGTAACTAATAAACTTTCATCCATGGGCAATCAAACATCTGTTTCGATTTGCCCCCACAACACTTCATACATAAATTTTATTATTCTGTAACCTCTACTTGCAATGTAGAGTGATACAAAGTGGCCAAAAAACAGAACCCAGGACATTCGGGACATATTCTAGACCTAGAGTGCAAATAACTGTTGTGCAAAGCGTCCTAGAGTCTAGACTACTGAAACTTCTGGATGGAATCATAGATAGAAGTCGAGTGTTGAAATAAATTTTTAACTTTCGTGAAAGTAATTTATGTATTCGTTTTTTGGGGAGCGGTCATCATGTTTGATTTGGAGTGAAACTTAAGAAGTGATGACATAGCAGATTAATTGAAAACCTGAATAAAATCAGCAGCCAACAGGTTTTCTATTTCAGAGAAACTAGCCAGGATAACTATAGAAATTCGGGACCATGCAAACCAAATAGTTCCATTTGAGGGGAGATTGTCTAGTTAATTTGAATCACAGAATATTGAGTGAATCTTGGTAGAATCTAGGAGAAAGATTTTTATATCATCACCTTTCAACTGTAGTAATTCAGCCACATACATCAAAGATTCAGCATTTTCATCAGTAGTAGATAATTCACCAGTGTAAATGTATTCTATGCATTGTTGCAGGGATAATGGATCAACTTCTTTCATTTCCACTTTACCAGACGCTGTCTCAGCATTCTGAAGTGTGATAATACATAAGATGTTTTGAGAAAAATATTATCAAACAGGATTGTCTGCCATGACAGACTGATTAGTTTGCAAATTCAACTTTAACAAGGATAAAGCGGGCTATTTTTTATTTTAACTTGTTAAAAATATAATTGAAGGGTAATAATTATTACATACACTGAATCTGATGAGTTGTCTGTTGAGTGAGGCAATAACAGCACCAAGTCCAAATTATTCCTTTACCGTGCAGGTCCGACACCGGTTTAGTTGGCTTCAATTTGCAATTGAGCATTGAATACACACACTCAGCATGGGAACACGCCTGCAATAGCGCCTCTGATCACACTCAGATTTTCGCATGATAAACACTACGGGAAATAGAAGAAACTGTCCGTCTCTGTAAGTTGTTTCTCGTAACCATTGGTCACTTACAACTCCCTTCACCAACAAGCCAATGTATCTCAATGGACCAAACTATTCCAATACCCAGCATGAACTGGCAACTGAACAAAACCCTGTGCCATATGATACAGTGTGGCCAGGTATCCTCTCCCAGATGAATATCCTGTTCTATACAGGATGGTATTTTACAAATTCATCCCGGGAGAGAGGGAAGGCGATAAGGCGGCTTAACCATATGGCGAACAACGGCATCCGGTATGGTTACCATTCTTTGTTGGGTATGAGACTAGTTAGTTATTTATTTTCGGAAGCATGGACTTGATGGTAGAGGAAGCCCTAACCGACCAGTGGTTACGTGAACCAACCCACGCAGCGGGAGCCAAGCTATCCTCTCACACATAACCATACCCGCATGGGATTCGAACTTGCGAACCCGCGCAGAGTAATCAGAGATGCTGTGGCGAGCGCTTTCTTAACGCTTAGAACGATGAGCCACACCGCCGCGCCTATATATGGGTGGGGCAGTGTTGCTCATTTTGTTAAGCGCTAGGAATAGGCTAGCCACCTCTGATTACTCTGCGTTCGAATCCCCCGGGATAAATATGTAAATCCTATTCTATGATTGAAAGCAAGCTGCAATCAGTTACATGATTGGTAGGCGAAAAAATGCCTGACATACCAAGAATTTGAACTTGCAACCTTGCTCAGAACAATCAGTGTTTACAATGCCTAACCAATCAGTAAATGGTTGAGATATCACATAAACAACAAGCAAATATAAACTCACATTATGAGCCAGCATTGCTCTGAAATAATCAGATCCTACAGATATAATATTCTTATGAACTGGGATTTCTTCAGAGCCAGCTATGATCATGAAATCACAATGATCTCGAGTTTCCTTTCTGCTTCTGCAAAAATATATTTTACATCAGAATGGTGCGAGCTATTCTGCACATGAAATTCCAGTGGAAATACCAGAATTTGAGTTTGTTTTTTGGTTTGAGGGGTACGTACACTCGTAATTTTTTCAGAGTGAACACTAAGAACAATTTTTTTTTTTAATTTTCCCTAATTTGCGATGCACATACATACTACAGATGGGCCGAGATTCGGATTTGAGTCAAATCCAGGCATTTTTTGGACTCGGATTCGATTTCGAGTCCACGTCGTTTTTACCGAAGTTATAATCAATTTTGTTTTTACTAATTTACGCCTATGTTTGTACTTTTACCCCTATGAATCTCACTACATGCCTTAAATAGTTGAAATTCAAGTTTAGATATGTAACAATATCACTCGCGTGTATTATAAGCACTCCTAATAAAAACGACAACAGACATCTAGATAATATAACGCAAGTTAAAAACAATTGATAGCTTATAACAATGATGCACCAGTCGCCTTCAAACTATCTATTCTTTTTGGTATACATGTGGTACACAATAAAACATGTGTTAGCGCAATATTTTTGAGTTTTCGATTCGCGTAAATAAATATGAAACATGCGCAGGATCAACCCAATGGAGAATCTCATAAATACCTCTTTTAAATCGAGTTTATCATGTGCAATCCTTTCTCTATAAAGGGAGCAATGGAAAGCATGGAGCGTTTTAGAATGTTTACATGAACTACTAAATTGTAAGCATTGTATTGACCACGAGTGGCATCTTTCTACAATTTGCGCACGCGACATAGTATATTTAGGGCTAGAAATATCTGGAATTACGGGAAAGCATTGTAGTCAAAAGCTTCTTACTTTTCATATTGACATGTAAGAATTTCTAAATAGCCGACCAGAATTGACGCAGTGGGGTGGACTGGAAATTCAGTTCACAGCCAAGGCGCACATTGACCCACATTCACGTTTGTATTATGGCCGCCAAAAAAGAAGAAAAATATATTTTTAAATTGATTCAACAGCTATCTGCGAAACCGTTAGGCAAAAAATATGAGCCATGACGTATGTTTGTGGGCGCACAATGCTGTAGTATGGTCAAAAACGAGTTTTCTACTTTTACATTGTGACGTCACAGACTCGGAGGATTCGAGTCCTTGACCTATTACTCGGATTCGTCGAATCTCTGTAATGCCGGACTCGTCCCATCCCTAATACATACTCATTATTTAGTGAACACCAGAAACCAGATTTTGCAGTTCATTTTTTAGCTAGTGAGGAAAGCATGCACTCCTAATCTTCCTAAGGTGAACACTTAAATCCACGTATCCACCACAGTATCATGTCAATTTACAACTGACTCTAGCTCCACAAAAAAAACAAAAACAAAAAAAATCAGTTTTCATAACAAAAACTTGCGCATGCGAGCTTTCTATTCTTTCAGTTAGCACAATTCAAGCTTTTCATTTAATGGAAAGTTTTGACTTTTTTTAATTTCTGGCTTGTGAGAATCCCATACGCCTATAATTTAGTTAGAGTGAACACTGTTAAACCTTGCACCCATCACTTAACCCAGGAATCATCTCTGAGTAAAGTTCGTGACACTCACTCAGAAAGTAGACTCATCTCTGAGTAAAGTTGCTGACAGTCACTCGATAGTAAAGGAGACTCATCTTTGAGTAAAGTTACTAGCACTCACTCAGAAGTAAAGGAGACTCATCTCTGAGTAAAGTCACAGGCACTTTCACTCAGATGTAAAGAAGACTCATCTCTGAGTAAAATCATGGGTAGGGCTGTCCAAGCAAACCGAATATTCGAAATCGAATCGGATCGCAAAATATTCGAATCGTTTTTTTGGCTAATTTGCGAAATGCTAAAATTAGCTACATAAAGCATATCCTCACGACCATCTTTTGTTTTGCACATCGTTTTTTTATCGGGCAAGCAGCGGCACCTAAAGTTTCCTGATATTTCTCTTGCCTTCATTTTGCGATAAAAAGGGATCTCTCCTAATGCCGATGGCATGTGAATAGCCATATCATGCATGGTCATAACTGACAAGTTATTGTCGGCAATATCTGTTTTCAGAGTGTACACAAGGGGAAAAGGCAATTTAGTATCCACAGAAAACGATAGTTCAATAAATAGAATCAATTTAAACATGTCAAGTCAGTAATCATAGCAACATGGTACTGCTTACTCACAGCTGAAGCATGTATTGTGGGGGTTTTATGGTGGCAATACTTAGTATTTACCATCTATTAACAAGACAAATAACTGCACTCTTGCATCCTGATAGCTGTGTACAGTAACAATATGTTCATTAAATAATATTGTCATCATCAAACTAGCTGCAATTTATATACTCTGGAAATATAGGCGCGGCGGTGTGGCTCAACAGGCTAAGCATTAGGAATACGCTCGCCACCGCACCTCTAATTGCTCTGCGTGGGTTCGCAGGTTCGAATCTCATGCAGGGATGGTTATGTGCGGGAGGATTGCTGGACTCCTCGTCGTCGTTGGGTGGTTCATGTAACCGCTTGTCGGTTAAGGCTTCCTCCACCACCAAGTCCATGCTTCCGAAAACAAACAATATAACTAATCCCATACCCGACTTGGAATGGTAACCGGACAAGAAGCCGTGATTCACCAAATGATTAAGCAGTCTTATCGGCTCTCCTCTCCCCCGGGATAAATATGTAAATCCTATCCTATCCTATAGTTATGCAATATATGAGCAGTATTTTAAATGTATCACATACATTATTACAATTTCAAAAAAGGAGTATTTTTGTTACAATAGAGATTTGGGATTGCGCAATAATATTAGATTATTCGGTTCAATTCGACAAAATTATTCGATTTGAATAAACAATTATTCAATTTTGGACAGCCTGTAAAGTTATGAACACTCACTCGGATATAAAAGGAGTCTTCTCTGAGTAAAGTCATTGACACTAACTCAGATGTAAAAAAGACTCATCTCTGAGTAAAGTCATGAACACTCACTCAGATTTAAAGAAGACTTATCTCTGAGTAGAGTCATGAGCCCCCACTCAGTAAAGAGAAGAATCATCTCTTTGTAAAGTCACAGGCACTCACTCAAAGATAAAGAAGACTTAACTCTGAGTAAAGTTATGGACCCGCACTCAGATAGAAAAATAAACTCATATCTGAGTAAATTCATGGGCACTCACTCAAAGCCGAACCAGTGTGAACCTTACACGTCCAAAATAGTTTTGTGTATGTTCGGGAAGGAGTTCGGGAACCATGTATGCGAAGAATAAGTTCAGTCACCCCATAAAAATGTTGAAATATAGGTACAAGTGGTTAACCAGTAGAGAGCTTTTTCAAGTCCCTATACTATTTAAAATGAGTACCTACTCATTTACTCAGATGTAAAGAAGACTCATCTCTGGGTAAAGTTATGGACACTCACTCAGATGTAAAGAAGACTCTTTTCTTAATAAAGTCACAGGCACTCACTCAAAGATAAGGAAGACTTATCTCTGAGTAAAGTTATGGATACTCACTCAGGTGTAAAGAAGACTCATCTCTGGAGTAGAGTCACAAGCACTCACTCAGATGTAGAGAAGAATCATCTCTGAGTAAAGTCCAAGTACTCACTCAAAGTTAAGAAAGACTCATCTTTGAATAGAGTTATGGACCCGCACTGATACTTCTAAGTACAGTACCTGAATTTCTCCTTAATCCTCAGGAGAGAGCTATTTTAAGCCAAGCTAACAATTCTAGCGTAGGCCGGTGCCCATGGACAAAATGTATAAACATTAAAAATCACGAAAACGAGGAAAAGCTTTTTGAGTTAAATGGGTACTCTACCAGCAACAAGATGGCAGACACCGAAATGTTGTATGTTTACCAGGTTAAGTTTAGGCCATAATTTCAAGGACAAATACTACAAAGTCACTTGGCTAGTCCCCAAACTTGTAATAGAACTAAAATAATGAAATTGAAATAAAATTATGGCTTGATTCTAACCTGGCACATATACAACATTTGAGTGTTCGTCGTCCTGGTGTACATACTTCTGGAGCGCCGCTAAATGTGTACGTACATTGTTCGCAATGTAATAGCATATAGTTGTTGTAATATTTCACAAAGTTTGTAAATCATTCAGAACTTTGCTCAGCCTTAAAATATTCATGTTCACTAAAACTAACAATTGCGCATCGTAATATTTTCTTAGAGTGAACACTGTTAATAATGTGTGCATAAATAGGTATTATAGTAAAAATACAGAACTAAAACAAATACATAGCATAATTTCCCCATAAAAATGACAATACCCCTCCTCCATAGAAAATATTTCATTCACGGTTGTAAACATAGCTTTAACCGCATTGTTTTAGGCATCCCTGAAGAACACTCACCTGTTCAAGTCCTGTAAAATCCTATTTGCATGACCATTAGTCTTCACTTTAATTTCGAGAGGCATTTTACTGATATTTCTAACTAATGACTATGTAATTCAAAGCTAAATAAAACAGTTATAAATAGCCATGTAGAATTTATCATAGGTATTCAGAAGACAATTTAAATTTTCTCAAACGTATGTCTCAATTTTTATCAGAAAATTAAACACAGTTATAAGGAACATTAAAAATCAAGGGGTAAAAATTCAAACAAATGCTTCAGAAGGGCTTACCAACATTTCTGAATGGGTATTTAGGACTATGCGGGTTAATAGCACTGTTTCTCAATCTATGGCCGCGACCTGAAAACTGGTTCATCTGAAAAACTGATTAACCGTCGTGATTAACTATTTATTCGGTGCTCCAGAATTATGTGAACCAATATGACGGACACCGGAACGTAGTATGTGTACCAGGTTAGGCCCTCCTTTCATTTCAATTTCCTTTATTTTAGTTCTACTACGAGTTCGGTGACTAGCCAAGTGACTCCCGTAGTATTCGTACCTGAAATTATGTCCTAACCCTAACCTGGTACACATACTCTGTTCCGGTGTTCGCCATCTTGGTTCCC